CGCGTCTTTTGATTTCAACCAATCAGCGCCGACGCAAATGACGTCACACACGACAACAGCTAAGCTAAGTTAGCCGAGACGACACTATGTCGGACGGACACGATTTTCTGCCAATCTGTGTTTTTCCCTTTTTGGCCAAATATATATTTTACGACAACTGTCTTGTTGACGGCGTCTTTTATTCTTTCCACTGGGGTTTAGCGGGTGTGTTTATAAAGAGACGAAAATTGTTTGGGGACTATCCCCCACGTTCTAGTTGAGATGGTATAACCCAAGAGGCAAAATGACGCTTGCTACTGTTGTTGCGAGTTGCCATTCGTTCGACAAAACCATTAGTCAAACGCCATCATGCCTTCTGTCGTTATTACACAAACAAAAATCTCTTTACTGTTACTAGTGTTAGTGCCTCAATATGGCTACGCTCGCGAAAGCAATCTCGTGAAAGCAATATAACGAACTCAAACGCGTCTTCGTTCAATGTTGTCAACAAATATCCGGATTATGCAAGTTTTCCTCAATTCTCCGGAGAAATGTTCATAAAAATTTGAAAAACCCGGAATTCCGGGAAAATCCGGAGGACTTTCATCTCTGTTAAATACACCTCGAGTGAGTTTCATCTCTGCAGTTAAGAGACTGTGACAGCTTTACATCTGCTGATTGCATGTCATGAGACATTTGTGGCAAAAACAAAAAAAAATATATATATACAGTATACAGTCATACCTCAGTTTTTGACCATAAAAACCGAAAAACCGAAACCATGATCTTTTCTAAAAAAAAAAGTTTTTTGAACACGTCTGCTCACAATGGAACACAACACGAGGAAGCGTTACTTCCTCGTGTAAGGAAGGCGAGAGGAGTCAAGTGGCGCATTCAAGTGCGCTCAGTTTGTTCGAGAACCGATTTTCGGTCGTAATCCGATGCATTAAAAAACTCGAAAACCGATTTGGTCAAGAACGTATATAATAGATATATAGAATATATATATAAATACTGTATATATATATATATATATATATATCTACAGGTAGGCACCGATAACTATCTTTTTAGCCCCAGTT